CAATGAAGAATGAATGGTTGTTTAACTTAAAGGCAAAAACAAAACAAAAGATAAGCATTTATCCTTATAGAGAATAAGTAATAAGTATAAGAATAAGAATAAGTATCGCCTTTTTATTTCTCCTCTTTCCTACTACTTGTTGTCACAGTGTTTGGTTGTGGTGCCCTGGACTGGTCACTTGAGGGCGCTCTTCTGGTCTATGTTGTTTGTGTTAAACTCCATTTCCCATAGTCCCCTGCTCATTAATCCTGCTCTGATCTGTAACACCTGTTCATCATTTACTCATTATCCCAGCTATATATATCATGCTTTCTCTGTCTGTCATTTGCGTCTTGATTGTATTGTCTTCTCAGTTTGTGTTATCTGTGGTCATGTTTTGGATTTTTACTGTAGCATTTTTATGTTATGGACCCATAAACTTGGCTGATAACTTCAACTCCATAACTTCAAAAGGCTACAGTAAAAATGTCTGAAAACGTGCGTGCTTACAGTAAAGTGCACTAGAAATATGACCTCCGTGGAACGTTTAACGCACCCTCAAAGGAAATTGAGATATAGCAGCACAAATTGGGCCAATGATGCAATTTCTCCTATTGTATAGTCATATCAACCAAGTTTATGGGTCCATAACTTAAAAATGCTACAGTAAAAATGTCTGAATCTTTTCAGACATTAAAGCCTCTAATGAATCTTTAAATGCACCCTCAAGGACAGCTGAGATATAGCGCCCCCAATAGGTCCATGAATGCAATAGCTCAAGTCTATATTGTCATATATGTCAAATTTATAGGTCCATAACTTCAGAATGTTACAGTAAAAATGTCTGAATCTTTTCAGACATTAAAGCCTCTAATGAATCTTTAAATGCACCCTCAAGGACAGCTGAGATTTTGCGCCTCCAATTGGGCAATCAGTGCAATGGCCTATTTAACTGTGCATTTAAGCAAACGTTGTGTGCATTTTAAAGCAATGCAAATGTCATCATTTTGTATCTAGAGTCCTCTATTCACAGGTGCTGGGTCATATGAAGTCTTCATAAGAGGCTAGATTTAAAAAAGAAAATCATTACTGCACTCAAAGGATGACATGCACCTTTAATAATTAACATATAATGTAATTAGATTTAATGTTGACAGCCCGTTTTCGCTCTTATCTCAGTGTTATTTACATTTACATTATTTACGTTATTTACATTTTAAAATAGTTCATTGTTCGTTTCTGAAAAAGAGACACAAATAGAGACGGTCCCCGTTTTTAAGGTGGAACGGATAGCGTCAATAAGAAGCTGAATTCAGCCTCGTCACAGAAACGCGCAACAAATTCTCACAACACAACCAAATACAAAAAGGCGAGTCAAATTCTAACAACACAACCAAATACAGAAACGCGCTGTGTTTCTTTATTTGGTTGTGTTGTGAGAAGTTGCAGCTTGTGTGTTGTCAAATTGATGAAGATGTTTTCCTAATTTGCAGGGTTTTTTTTTTTTTAAATTTGCAGCGCGTTGAGCTCTCTCGGCCACCGTACAATTGTTATTATTTTATAATTCTGGATATATTTAGATTCAAGTAGGCCTATATATTTCAACTTTGTGTTAATATTTCACACAGTGACATTACTGACAAAGCCTTTTATTGATTGATTATTTTTACCATTATTGTTACTTAATAATGTATTAATTATATTTTCAGGCTTCATTTCATAATTGTATAATTTTGTTATTGGAGAAGTTATGACATTTAACACCCATCCCTCAATTTTCCATATTGATTGTGCTATCATGGGGTATAGGCAGAGGCAGACCAAGTACACAACTCCATTGCTTGAGTGAAAGTTGTAAAGACAGATTTTTACTTAAGTAAAAGTGAAGAAGTACTTGCTTTTAAAAGTACTTAAGTATCAAAAGTAAATGTCCTTTTTTATGTCAATGCACTGTTTTATTATTGTTATACATAATACTTGCAATACTTCTGAAGCAACTTACAATACATTACACCTACAGACTACACTGACTATCTTGTATTTTCTTTGGAATAAAGAGC